GTTTATTATTAGAAAAATTACCCAAATTAAGAAGAAACAAAATCAAAATTAGTAGACTTTAAATTAAAAGGAGTAATTTATGGAAAAATAAATCCTACCTATATTCGCGTGACAATGTGGTAGCTGCACTGCCATCCAAATTGACTCACTTTTAGGGTGGTAGGTCCAAAACGCCATTATTACCCGCCAACCGAGGATCATACTGTTTAGTATTGTTATTTTTTTTTATTTATTATCGCCGGAAAAACATTGTTCCACTTGCTTTCATTACATGACCTACTCAAGCCACCACGACACAAAACATATATTGTTCGTGAATTCTCAATTCTCACTGTCTTTATTTTTTATCTGAAAAAAAAAATATTCTTCCTTCTCTTTTCTGAAACTCCTTAAAGCGAAATCGCAAAGGGTGTCTTGGAAAGAGAGGGTTTGATTGAAAAGCAAAGATCTTTAAGGAAAGAGAAGAGAAAGGGCAACAGTTTTGGTTTTCGGGGGCAATGGGGGATTTGGAAAAGCAACAGAGGGCGGTGGAGGGACGGGAGGAAAATGGGGATGATGAAAAGGAGAGTCTTTTGGAGAGTCCGGCGGTTGTGGATTTTGACAAGCTCTGTTCCTCGGTGGCGTTGCGAAGTTCGCATGGAAGTTGGGGGAAGCTTGGGGGCAGGGATGATGAGCAGCAAGGTGGGGTTTTGAGGATGTGGGAGGGTGAACTCCTCGATTGCTTTGACGATCGCCGCATCGCTCTTGAATCTGCGTGGTGAGGTTTAATGTTACTTGCTTTTTATTTGAAAAAAAAAAGCACTAATATTGTGGTTTTCATGTTCTTTTGTGCTTTTCTCAATGGTACAAATTGTGTGTTTGGAACAATGTTTTGAACGAGGACAGCGTTAGTTTTGTCTGAGGCTATGCTGATTTTGGAAAGAACTAAGGGGAATTATTAGGTTATTGTAATTATTAATTCTTCATTTCCTGGTAGAGAAGTCCTTATAAGATAGTAATTTTTGTCCTGTAAGATATTCTATTTCGTCGTTAATCTTTAGGTACCTACTTAAGGAATGTAAATTGTGCAACTGGAAAGCGGGTTTCCTGTTTAGTGTGCATTTGTGGGCTATGGATTTTCGTCTCGTTCATAGGTTTATGATTTCACGGTTTAAATGATAGAACTCAAGAAGGGCTCTGATTTTTTTATTTTCTCAATGATGGGGGTGAGGGATTTGGAACATTGATATTCATTATTTCTGAGTTCCTGATATATTTGGTCGCGTTTTGACGGGTTAAGTTAAAATCATTTTAATTTGATTGTTCAATTACATGTTTATGCCTTCTTCTTTACAATGTATTTATGTTCATGCTTCTGGGGCAATGAAAGACTAAAATGCAAAATGTCATGCGGAAACCGATAATGTGCTGTGGTTTGTGGTGATTTTACAAGGTCTTTTTGTGATAAGTCATGTTTGTGAATGGTAGAACTTTTCGTTTTGCAGTTGTCCTTGCTACCGATTTGGGAAGAATATGAAGCTAGCTGGTTTTGGTTCTTGCTATCTCCAGGTATAATTAAATTTCGTTGAAATTAAAAGTGCATATGTTGGTTAGATTGGCCTAGTTATAACTAAAACTAATGGGAAACACTTTTAGAATTGGCAATTTCTTTGTGAATTTTTCTTTTACATTTGGCAATGTAGGTCTCTGAAGTATGAATTTCCGTGTTTTGGATCGCAGGCTATAGTTTATATTGTCCTTGTTCTTGGTGCCCTCGTTAGTTTCATTGCCTATACTATCTGGAGGGTTCATTACTTCCTATACCTAGCGGTTGCATTCACCATTGCTGTTGGAGTATACTTAGGATTCTACCGAACTCGTATGCGGAAGAAGTTCAACATCAAGGTGACTTTTTCTTCCTATACTGTAATTGTTTATGAGCACTTAATTATTCCTAGACATGTTTTGATGGAGTTATTTACGTGTTTTCTTCTCCCTGAATTATAAGTTTTATCTTGTTTGAACATGGCTCTTCTAC